AGCCTCTGTTTAAAGACCTCCAAAGAAGGAGACTCCACCTCACTCTAAGGCAGCATATTCCTCTGTCAGGAGGTTTTTCCTAGTAGTTAGGTGGAATCTCTCTTCCTTTTGCTCCTAGTCTCTGAAGCAACAGAAAACAAGCTTGCTTCATCTCAATATGCTATTTAAGAATATTTAAGAATGCCTATCATATCACCTGTTAACCTTCTGTTCTCCAGGCTAATCATACCCAGCTCCCTAAGCCCGTGCTCATGGGGCATGGTTTCCAGACCTTTCACCATTTTGGGTTCCCTCCTCTGGACACATATCAGCTTGTCCACAATCTTCTTGAATTGTGGTGCCCAGAACTAGACACAGTATTCCAGGTGAGGTCTGGCCAAAGGAGTTTTCTGGAACCACACCAGAGAGACCTCTGGCAATGGATGTACAATCTCACCTCACCAGTGGACCTCCCTCTCCATTGGTGAAGCAGCACTTGTTTACCTTTTGTTGCCCTCCAGGCATCCTGTTGGAGAATACAAGATTGTACCCAGACATACATAAATACCGTATTTTCCGGCGTATAAGATGACCCGGCGTATAAGACGACCCCCCATTTTTCCAGTCAAAATATAGAGTTTTAGCACCTCTATCCTCCTTATCCTTATACCCGGCGTATAAGACGACCCCCCCCCCACTTTAACCACAGATTTTGCAAGTTAAAAAGTAGTCTTATATGCAGGAAAATAAGGTATGTCATGTTAGTAAAATAATTGTTCTCCCATCCGTACATGGTAATAGGGAATGCAATTGGCTTGTATGCTTCTAACTTTTGTGCTGAGTTGTATATCTTTGCATTTTAGAACGTTTTCTAGTACTTTTATAGCCGCCCTCCACATTCTTAATCTTCTCCTGATTTCCTGACTGCAGTCCCCATTTCTATCAATGTTTGATCCAGGTATGGGAATTCTTTTACTATTTCTATTTCTTCATTGTCTAGGTCAGTGGTTCTTAACCTGGGTTCGATCGAACACCAGGGGTTTGATGAGTCAGTCTCGTGGGTTCTGCGGAAGTCAAGACACACATCCGATGACACGCCCCGCTCGTCCATCATTGGCTGCAGGTGATAACCTGTATATGTTTTATATGCCCCATCCAACCAAACCAGCTTGCCCCGCCTCCACTGACAGAAGTGGCCCTCTGATTGGCCATGTGGCATGATTGACAGCGCGGCAGCCCACTCCCCTCACCGGATGGCGCTGACGGTCCGTCTGTATTGGAGGTAGAAGGGTTCGGTGAATGCATAAGAATCGTAGGAAGGGTTCAGTGAATGCACATATGAAACTGGTGGGGGTCAGTACCTCCAACAAGGTTAAGAACCACTGGTCTAGGTTGAACTTGTGAAGGTCCTCTGTGGTCATTATTTTTGTTTTCTTTATGTTCAACATTAAGCCTGCCTTTGCACTTTCTTCTTTGATCTTCCTTAGTAGTTGTTCCAGGTCTGTGAGGTTTTCTACAGATATTATGGTGTCATCTACATATCCTAGATTGTTGGTATTCCTTCCTCATATTTTCACTCCTCCTTCTTCTGTGACCAAGCCTGCTTTTCTTACAATGTGTTCTGCATACAAGTTGAACAGATAGGGTGAAAGGATACAGCTTTGTCTGACTCCATTGCCAATTGGGAACCATTCTGTTTCTCTGAGTTCTGTTCTGACAGTAGACTCTTGTCCTGAGTGCAGATTCCTCATAAGGACTATCAGATGTGTTGGCATTCCCATGTCTTTAAGGGCATTCCATAGCCTTTCATGATCTATGTAGTCATTTATGTATTTATATACAGTATGTATTTATTTATGCATTTATTTATGCAATCATTCACGATCTATTTGTGTTGCATATTATATTTTATAAAATTGCCTCATGTCAGAAAGAACAGAAAATCAACAGTTTACTCTTCAGTCTTTTCCCCCTTTCTTTTTCCTTTTTAAAAATACTCCATTTAAATGGTTTCTGGAAATTAAATTTTTCATTGATTAGTGGATGGATGGATGGATGGACAGAAATGGTAAGTGTATAATTTAAGCCCTTTACCCTTTTCCATTTGACATGGCAATTAAGTCATCAGCCTCTGTCACTCACTACAAGTCTGCTACAATACGAGGGCACATTTTCTACCAATAATATCAAATAGCAAACTAGAAATTCATCTGTGAGCAAGCCAAGAAACATGAATTATTTGTAGGTTTTAACTGACAGGATTCACTCATTCCTAAAAGGGATTAAACTACTGCTACTCCTGTTTGCTTTTTCTCCATTGCTATGAAGACAAGGAGAAGTTAGCCCATATTTTCTTAAACAGGTACTTCAATTAGCATAACTTGGCTTAGATGTAACACAGTACTATAGTTTATCATTATGAAAATGTGCCTAGAATAATAGAATCATAGAGTTGTAAGAGACCTCAAAGGCCATCCAATCCAACCCCTTGCCATGCAGGAATACACAATCAAAGCACTCCTGACAGATGGTCATCCATCCTCTTTTTAAAAACCTCCAAAAAAGGAGACTCCACCATTCATTCTCCAAGAGAGTGTGTTCCACTGTCGAACAGCTCTTACTGTCAGGAGGTTTCTCCTAATGTTTAGTTGGAATCTCTTTTCCAGTAGTTTGAATCCATTGCTGTAGAACCTATTCTCTAGAGCAGGGGTAGGCAACCTTTCCCCTTTAAGGGCCGAGGGACTTCAGCTCCCAGAAGCCTCAGCCTTGTTGGCCAATAGTCCCATGTTGGCCAATAGCTCTTGGGATTCTGGGAGCTGAAGTCCCTTGGCCCTTAAAGGGGAAAGGTTGCCTACCCCTGCTCTAGAGCAGCAGAAAACAAGCTTGCTCCCTCCTCAATATGACATCCCTTCAAATATTTAAACAGGGCTATCATATCACCTCTTAACCTTCTTTTCTCCAGGCTAAATGTACCCAGCTCCCTAAGTCACTCCTCCTAGGGCATGGTTTGCATACCTTTCACTATTTTCATCTAGAATCATCCAGCATTAGAAGCTTAGTTCTACTTTACATTAATACAGCTTAATTGTTGGCTGAACCCTAATCTGTGTTTAATATTAGCAATGTTTAATTGAAACAACCCAACTTTCTACACAAGTTTTTTTAAAAAAAATTATTGCTATATAGAAAAGCATACAAAATTTAACAATTCTACATAAACACACAAACAAATACAGCTTGAAAGTCTTCCTTATTAACGAAGTCTTGATGTTTCTTCAATATATTCAGATCTGTTGTAGTTTCTTAAAGATACTCAAATCTTTTTTTCATATTGTAATATACTATAGCATTATCTTCTAACTTATTGTAATACAATATCTTATTTTTACATCTGGTCCCATCACCCATCATTGCCCATCAATGTCTAACATTGACAATATATTTCATTTAATGTTCTACATCTATAACATTACTCTATAATAATATTTCTATTTAATCTTTAAAGCCCATTGTCATTATTTCTTCCCATTCTTTGCTTATAAAATTTGCTTATAAAATTATAAAACTTCCCTCGGCCCTTAAAGGGGAAAGGTTGTCTACCCCTGGTCCTCCAGTATACATGACGGTACTCTGGTCTCACAGGGTGTTGTTAGGATCCCACTCTTGCATATTTTGAGCTAATTATAAATTCCCTTAATTAGATCATTAAAGGGGAAAGGTTGCCTACCCCTGCTGGAGGACGTAGGGCCTCGGCAGACGGCTTAAAAAGCCATCCTCGGGGCAAGGAAGGGGAGGGGCAGACGCACGCTTGGCGCCCCTTCCTCCTCCTGAGGTCGTCCTCAGAGCTGCTGGCCCTCCGCACGGCCAGCACTCCGAGGACAGCCTCCCGCTGCAGCGTCTGGACACGCTGAAGCGGAAAAGTCAGCAAAAGTGCGCCGCAAGCTTTTGCGGCGCACTTTCACTGACTTGTGAAAGGAGCGCTATTTTAGCACTCCTTTCAGGGGCGGTGAAGGGGCGCCGCAGGATCGAGGAGTGGGGATGCCTCAGTCCCGCGGCACACCTTCCCAGGGCGGCCCCGTGCTGCCAGTCTGCTTAGGCCCTAAGAGATCCCACAATGGATGATACTGAGACAAGCTTAAGGTCTAAATATTTATTAAAAGGGGAAAACTGCACACATGCACATATGACACAAGCACTCACATTGCACACTTGGAAGTAAAGAGGTGAAAGCAGGACTAGATTGAGATGGGCCAAACTACGGGAGATGCTCACTTCCGAAGGCTTCACCGGGATCCGCTGTGGATGTGGATGATGATGATGATGATGATGCATAGCCACTGAAATGGGGGAAGGGATAGCCGAGGGAGCTATGATCAGAGAGAAGACTGATGTGGAGCCAAGATGCAGTCTAAGGATAGCACATGGAGTCTAAAAATCTAGGGGTTTATATAGAAAATATCTAGCCTCTGGCTAGAGACTTGATGACTTGGCTGAAGCCTGGACAAAGGTGCTGATTGCCTGGGCTTTGTTAATCAGTTCAGAGTCATCAAGGGAACTCCACATGTCCCAAAATTTTATTAAAATCATACATACTAACACCTGCTAGCAGCATACAGTATACAGAATTGTAATGGCCATAAGGTACTTTGGGAGATAGTTTTTGTCTGAAGATCAGGATACAAATTTAATATTTTAAAATCTAAGTTAACACCATGAGGATATATAAACAGATAGATTAACCATGGTCAAATCTTTCCCGCTGTAGCTTCTCATGATAAGGTGTACATCTTTGCCTGTGTTTTCCCCCCTCTCCCAGAGCTCCCAGATTGAAGGACCTATGCCATACTTTGAGCTTATTATATCATTCACCACATCCTGTTGAGGTTTTGTGGCAGCATGAAGGTAGCTAATATGTGTACCTCTTGGTTCACTTAAATTTGGTTGCTTGCTTTTGTTTTTACTTCACAAACTCATACTTTCCAACCCAACTGATTTAAGCAGCATACTCTCTCTAGGCAGTAGCCATTGTGGTATAGTGGTTTGTGCATTGGACTATGGCTCTGGAGACCAGGGTTCAATTCCCTGATCTGCCATGTGATTTTGGTCAAGTCACGTGCTCTCGGCTGCAGGGGAAGACAATGGCAAACCTCTGAACAAATCTTGGCAAGAAAACTCCATTACAGATTCACCTTAGGTTCACCATAAGTTGGAAATGACTTGAAGGCACACAACACACACATACAAACACACACATTCTCTAGGCATGTCTTCCAACAGAAGCCAATACCTGAACCATATATATTGCTGGATGGTTGTTGGGGTTAAGTCATGAAGTATGTTAACCGCAGTCTAGAACACTGAAATAATGAGGAACCTGAGGCCTTCAGACCCAATCCAGTCTATGTGATTCCTCAACTAGGCCACTGGCACTCCTGCATGGGAACATCTATTACCTAAACCACATCATGCCTCCTGAAGACTTTGCCTGTCATTTGCTTTCTCCAGCTGAAGGGGGCAAGTGGCAAGCAAAGCCATTTCTGGACTCAGACTGGACTTTGAGTATGATTCCTTGAGGCGTAAACTGAGTCTGCTATGGGTGTTGCCTGCTCCCCACCTGCCCTGACCAGGTAAGGCAAGGAATAGTTGGCACACATTGTATCTGTGCTCGTGTAAGACTTGGATTCCTTCACACTACATGATTATAGCAGTATGTCTCTATTTTAATTGGCATGGCTGCATCCTATGAAATCTTGAGGATATTTAGAATTCTAAACCAAACGTCACCAAACCATGAGCCCAAGAATTGCTATCAATATTGCTGTCACTGACATTGCTGAGGTTGGTGTCACCAGGGGGGCAAAGTGCCTTGCCCTCATCCCTGGCTGGCAACCCACCCAGATCACTGCTGAGGGGGGTGGCCTTGTAGCACCCATTCAGGGACCAGTGTGGTTGCTCTGCTGCTACTTAGGGGGTGGCACTGTGGCCTCTTGAGGGCCCATTTGGGGTCCAGTGCAACTGCTGGATGAGTGGGGAAGGGAGGCAATGCTAGCCCAGTAGCCATGCCAGTCCCTCTGGGTTGTCACCCAATGCGCTCCACATCCTCTGCACTGCCCAGTGACACCTCTGGTTGCCATAGCACGATACATGCTATGTATAAACCAAGGAGCCCTGGTGGGACAAAGGTTAAATGCTGGCACTACAGCCACAAGGTTGTGAGTTTGATTCCAGGAACTCCAAGGTTGACTGAGTCTTCCATCCTTTCATAAATCAGTAAAATGAGCACCCAGCTTGTTGGGGCAATTGGCTTACAGATTGTAAACCACTTAGAGAGTGCCAAGATAAGCAGTATAGAAATGTACATGTTATTGCTATTGCTAAAGCAGTTAAAATGGATTTATAGTACTAAAACTATGCAGTGTGAAAGGGTCCTGAGTCTGTGTACTCTGTACTATGTACTGTGTACTATGTTCATATGTGAGAAAAAGTGAGACTGAGGGTGTGTGTCTGTGCACACATGGATGTGACCCTGCTCACTTAGGTCCATGGCATTGCCCATTGCTGGCATGCAACCCCAACATACTGACTCAAAATCATTTGAGTCAAAGAAGGACTTTCCACTGCTGCTCTAGAACTATAATGTTCACTATAATAATAATATCAATAGTGGCTGTGGTTTTTTCTTTCACACTTAGACATAGTTTGTGTGTGTGTTGTGTACATGTTTGTTCCCTAGTTTATTTAGCATTAGATTTGTTAAATTCTTTGGAATAGTTCTGCTTCCATCTAATTAGATGCAGCTGTAGAACAGCAAAACCATATTAATCTTCTAGGAGCTCGATCAAATCTTTATAGAATTTCTCCAGCTGTCTATCTAGAAGTCTGTCCATTGGTGAGTTTTATTAAAATGAACCTCCATAGATTGTTTATTGATTTTTGTAAGTGCTTGGATGTCTGTTATATCTTTTTATGTCATCCTTGATTATGCCTAAATGTTTTCTTAAAGTATTCAGCGTAGTCATTACCATGTAGGTTGGTTAGTAAGGAGTATCATATTTTTATAAGTGTGCAACCACAAAATGTAAATAGGCAAGACAAATACGGAACACTGAAAATAAACTGTGTGTAGATATACTTATGTCACTTTCCTCCTTTTTTGTTGCCTTTCATTTCATAACACTTTAACCTTAAAAATACCCCATCAAGATAATCTGATTGTTTCATAGATCTGACTCTCTCTTTCTAGTAACACATCAAGTACAGATTAATAACAAATAAAGCACAAATCAGGTCAAGACATGTTTATTTGTTCAGGAATTTTAAACAACAATGCCATCTCAGTATCTCTTTTAATGCTGCCTCTGAGTTCTGAGGGTGGTTCCAAATGGAGGCATCCTACTGCCACAAATCAAAACATATTTCCCAGATATGCCATGTTTTTCTCCTTAATTAATTTCCTTTGAAAAGAAAAATGGATTGAAGAAAAGATGGGGAAATCTGGAGAATTAAGAAAAGAAGGCAATGATGTTTGGATCCTCCCACAAATTTTACAGGTATGTCAGGACAAATGCAAATCAAAGCCTTGACTGCTGACAGTTATTATTTTTATCACATTGTATTTTGCATGATTTTTTAAAAAATGACAAACAGATACCTGATAGGATAAAGAAGAGCTGATAATTTAAGTTAAATTAATAGTTACAATTTTAAAAAATAGGTATTGGCTTGACAAGTGATCCCATCAAACAATATGAAACTTTGTGCTCGTTTTTGTTGAGCCAAAGTCCTTGTCAATCCCAGGTTTAGTTGCCTGGAATCTCATACTCAGGGAAAGAAAGGTGAAGCTACAAATCTAACAAGCAAACATACACACCTGCAGAGACAGTCCATGAGATGTTAAAATGATGTTTTGTCTATCTAAAACCTCAGGTAATGGGGTTTTACTTCTTCTCCCCCCCCCCAAAAAAAAAGTTCACAGTGCTCAGGGGGCACATGATTTCATGTTAATTGCCATCATTGCATCCTGTGGTATCCTAGGATTTGTACTTTAGAGCACTGGCATCACTAGGTTACCATCTTCTTAAGAGGGGGTGACACCACTGCTCCTACACCTACCTTTTGGCAGAAATGAACTGTGATATTCATCTGCTTCCCTTTAAAATGTTTTAAGAGATGGTGAGAGTGGGTGAAGTTCAGTGGGAGAAGAAAGGAGAGCCCCCCCAAAATTTTTAAAATTAAAATTTCAAATTTCAAAAGAAATTTTAAACATTTCAATTTTTTTATTTTTTCACATTTTCTTTAAAAATGTCATATTTTAACCAAATCTTCACTGTGTATATGTAAATACATTTAGGTTGTGCTTATGATATGGTAATTTGAAGGTATAATTTTAATTTTGTTGGTTGTTTACCGTATGTCATAACTATTAGCATGACATTCAGTGGTATATGGGAATTACGACTGATGAGTAACATTAATGCAAAAAAGCATTACTAAGGATTCTGTACAGTATGAAATGGGAGGAGGTCATGGGGGGGGTGACACCATGAGTTACCGCACCGGGTGACACCAACCCTAGGGATGCTACTGCTTTATGGAGGTGTGTTTAGAACTCTTGGCTAGAAAGCTCTACTGCCTCACTACTCTATAAATCTCAGAATTCTTCAGAATACAAGTATGACAAAATGAAAGATCTTGCTATAATTGTGTAGTATGAAATACTAGCAATTGTACACTCCTCGCCCAGGAGAAGTTAGACATACAGTGAGGCCTCGCTATCCGTGGACTTGCCTTCCACAGATTTAAGTATGTTGGGCATGATTTGATAGGTCTCAATGACCAATGGAAACTAGAAAGTTACATGCATAAGGAGTCACAAGGGCATACAGAGAACTAGATAGTACTAAAATAAATACTAAATGGGTTTGCTGATCACACCATCCCCCCCCCCAGGCTCTTCACATTTCCTCTTGCAAATGAGACAAAGGAGTTTATCACACGGAGGGGGGGACCCATGTAGAAACGGGATTTAAAACGTGGGGGAAACCCACAAAAGCAGGCAAATTTTCAGATGATGTCGCTGTTAAAATGGGGTTAACCCGAACAGAAAGTAGTCAAAAACTGCTTTCTTTTTACTTTTGGGACTTTCCGAAAGTAAAAAGAAGCAGCTTCTGACTACTTTCCGTTTGGGTTAACCCCATTTTAACAGTGACGTCATCTGAAAATCTGCCCGCTTTTGCGGGGTTTTTTTTCCAATTTAAAACCCCGTTTCTGCACGGGATTTCCCCCATGTGATAAAAGAGAGTCCCATTCCAAAGAGAGTCCCATTGCAAAACAATAAGAGACCATATCCTTCACCTCAACTCCTGGTCTGTTCCCTTGCACCCTTCTGCCTAACAATCAAGGGTTGTTTCAATCTAAACAAAGATTGTGTTGGAATATTTCAGATTTTGTAATTCCAGATAAGGGAGACTAAGGGGGGTTGCAGACTGTCAAAAATAGTGTGAATTCAGTCCACTTTTAGGGTTAGGGTTAAGGTTAGGGAATCATGGGAACTGAATTTTATTGTGGCACTAGAGTTCTCTGACAGAGAAGGCTCAATGTCTCAGAAAAATAACAATTCCCATGATTCCCTAGCACTAACCCTAACCCTAAAAGTGGACTGAATTCACACTATTTTTGACAGTCTGCAACCCCCCTAACCCTGTATAGATAAAATTACCAAGCCTATAGAAGAGCAAGCCTTGATGAAAGAGAATCCACATAACTTTTGCAAAGGCAAGTCATTTCTAACTACTTTTTAGGCTGGCATTTTACTGAGCACAGAGTGTAATGCTCTGCCAGTGTAAATGTCCAGGAGTGAAAAAAGGACAGAGGCATAGATTGGGGGCTGACCTGAGGAAAAGGATGCTAGCTGCTGAACCACCAGGGAACAGTTTACATGTGGAGGTAGACGATACCTGTATATATGAGCTTGGAAAAAGTACAGTCACTGGCACAACAAGGAGTTGCACCAACTCAAAACATTCCATCTGTGAATTCTTTAAGATCATCAGCAATCCTGTGGACAGGTATAATCTGGCAGACATTGACCAAG